CCGCGCACATGGCATTAATTATGCAAAAATCCATGCAGAGCCTCATCCCCCCCCCATCTTTTTTCTCTTTAAATAGTACGGGGGCTGCCACTCTGGATTTGGCCCGTGTTAAGTTGACGTCAATGTATTTTCTCAATTCAGCCATTTCTTTTGGAGTACATTTTTAGTTTAGGCAGCTTTGCTCCTGGCACAAACTCAATCATGCAATCTGGAGGGGGGGAGGAAGTTGCAATCCTGCTCACTAAAGACGTCTGACAGGTCTCGGTATTCCCTTGGCACCTGTGGGCTGCCGGTAAATCCCTCTGCGGCAGCGCCTTCCAGCTTGCTGGGGCTGTTGGGGTTTGTTGCCACTCAGGAGCCTGAGTGGCGTAGGAGGCTAATGCCTCCTACTAAGGCAGCATTTAACATCCAGCTGCCTGCAATTACTGCAAGTTCAATTCTCACCAGGCTCAAGGTCGACTTAGCCTTCCATCCTTTCTAAGGTGGGTAAAATGAGGACCCGGTTTGTGGGGGCAATAAGCTGACTTAGTATAAAATATATAAAAGTATGAAGGCTTAGCGCATTGTAAGCCGCCCTGAGTCTCTGGAAAAGGGCGGCATATAAATCAAATTTTAAGAAGTTTTTTAAAAAATCATGTGTTAAACTACCACAGATTTTTTTTGATATGAAAGAAGATTTGGAATTGAAAGATATATGGAGAGTGCATAACCCAAAAGAATTGGACTTTACTTTTTTTTCAGATAGACATAGATCCTTCTCTAGGATTGATTTTATTCTACTTACGGTTGACTTACTTTTAAAAACAAAGAAAACAAAGATATTTCCGAGGACTTTATCTGACCACAGCCCGGTATGGATAGAAATAGAAATGGGAAAGAATGAGAGAAGATCTTGGAGAGTAAATGAAAATTTGTTTAGATATGAAAAGAATGTAAATGAACTTAAAAAACAAGTGAAGGAATTTTTTGAAATGAATTTGAATAAGGGTACCCCTATTGAAATTGTTTGGGATGCGAGTAAGGCGTATATGCGGGGGGTGCTAATTTATATGAACTCTAAACATAAATTAAATCGACAAAGAAAAAGATTAGAATTGGAAGGAGAGATAAAGAAAAAAGAACAGCTACTTATAAAAAATCCAACAGATGAAAAACTACAAGGAATTATAAAACTTTTGAGAGATCAATTTCAAATGCTTACAGCGGAAGAAGCAGCAACTAATTTACAATTTGCGAAACATAATACATTTTGTAAGGCTAATAAACCGGGCAGATGGCTAGCTTACACACTGAGGAAACAACAGAGTACTCGGACTGTTGGCAGTATTGAGTATGGAGGGAAGGAAGTTTTTCAACAAAGACTAATCAAAGAAGCCTTCTTAGATTATTATACCAAACTATATGCCAAAGATGATATACAGAATGAACTTATAAATAAATATTTAGAAGAAAAGAGAGTTATAAAAATTTCTAGTGATCAAAAGGAAAGAACGAGTCTACCAATAACAGCTGAGGAGATTATTGTTGCTATTAAACAACTGAAAACAGCTAAAGCTCCAGGAACGGATGGTTTAACTGCAGTGTACTATAAAACTCCAGAAGCAGAAATGATTGAACATCTTAAAGACTTATTTTGTAGCATACAACAAGGGGGAAAAATACCCCCTTCATGGAAAGCAGCCTTTGTCTCTTTGATACCGAAAGAGGAGGCAGGCTCTACAAAACCGGAAAATTTTAGACCAATATCTCTCCTGAATACGGATTATAAAATTTTTGCGAAAGTATTAGCCAACAGATTAATGCCAGTTATTCAGGATTTATAGAAGGCAGATATATGAAGGATAATGTGAGGCAAATTATAGACTTATTGGAATATCTTGAAAGAATAAACAGATCTCTGCAGTGCTGGTGTTTTTGGATGCGGAGAAGGCCTTTGATCAAGTGAATTGGAACTTTCTGTTAAAGACTTTAAAAAAGATGGACTTCGAGGATCAGTTTGTACAGGCGGTTTCAGCAATCTATCAAGAGCAAACAGCACAAATTATTATTAATGGAAGTTTAACTACAAATTTTAGTATAGAAAAAGGCACAAGACAAGGTTGTCCGTTATCCCCGTTGTTGTTTATTCTAACTCTAGAAGTCTTGTTGAATACAATATGGGACTCGAGCATTTTGAATGGAATAGTTATAAGGCAAGAGGATTATAGAACAAGGGCATTTGCAGATGACCTGGTTGTTACCCTAACACAGCCGATGGAATCAATAATTCAGCTGGAAGACATTATAGAAGAATATGGTATGGTATCAGGATTCAGACTGAATCAGAAAAAAACCAAAATGATAGTTAAAAATATGACAGAAGATCAAAAGAAGAAATGGAAAGGAAGGCAGGCTTTGAAATAGTATCAAAGGTGAGATATCTAGGAGTTCAAGTTGCAGATTTAAATATAAAACTGTTTCAAAATAATTATGAAGTGTTGTGGCGAAAGGTACAAAAAGATATGGAAACCTGCAGTTTTTTCCAGGTTTCCATATCTTTTTGTACCTTTCGCCACAACACTTCATAATTATTTTGAAACAGTTTTATATTTAAATAAAATATGTCTCTACTTGGAAGAATAGCAGCAGTTAAAATGAATGTTCTACCTAGATTTTTATTTTTGTTTCAAATGATTCCGGTGCTTAAAAATGATAAACACTTGATGGAATGGCAAAAAGGAGTGAATAAATTTGTTTGGAATGAGAAAAAGCCAAGAGTTAAACTGAAAATTATGCAAGATGTTCATGAAAGGGGTGTCTTAAACTTCCAAACCTGCGATTGTATTATGAAGCAGCGGCGTTTACACAAGCAAGTGATTGGTTTGGAAGGACAAAGACTGGAATATTGAATATTGAGAGCTATGACCTTGAATTTGGTTGGCATGTATATTTATTCTATGAAAACAAGGTGGATAAAGTATTCAACAGCCATATACTTAGAAGCTCCTTGATGAGAGTTTGGAAGAAGCACCGACTCAAATGGGATTATAAAATACCGTTGTGGTTGGATCTTGGTCATATTATATGGAATATAAATATAAAGTCACTCGGGGGGGGGGTTATATAAAGAAGTACTTTTTAATGATGGGGCAGATGACAATTGAAGTCATTAAACACACTGTTGGAAGAAGGGATTAACTTAACTTGGTTACAGTATAATCAACTTCAATTGAGATGGAGAGAAGATCAAAAAATTGGATTAATGTTGCATGAAGAAGAATTGGTTAGGCAGATAAAAGAGAAAGGCCCAATGCATATTAAGAGGGTTTATAATGTTTTGTTAGAAAGAGATTCAGAAAATGAATTGGTTAAAGATTGTATGATAAAATGGGCGCAAAATTTTGGAGAACCAGTTATGATGGAAACGTGGGAAAAAATATGGGTTCAGAATGTTAAATTCACACAGTCGCAGAATTTGAGGGAAAATTTTTATAAAATGTTTTATAGGTGGCATTTATACCCTAAGAAATTGTCATGCATGTATCCTAATGTTCAACCAAAATGCTGGAGATGTGATTGCTTAGATGCTACATATTATCATATATGGTGGACATGCAAGAAAGCAAAGGCTTTTTGGATAAAAATTTGGTGGGTTATGCAAAATGTTTTGAAGAAAAAAATTCAATTTTCTCCTAAATTGTTTTTATTGGGTATAGTTAAGGGCTTTTCAGTGGGTGAAACAAAATTGATATTGTATATGGTGACAGCAGCTAGGTTATTGATTGGTCAATATTGGAAAAGGGATGATATGCCTACAATTCAAAAATGGACTTTGAAGATGGCCAGTTTTGCAGAAATGGCGAAGATATCAGCATATTTAAAAGACCGGACTCAGGAGACTTATGTATGGGAGTGGAAGAAATGGATAAATTATGTGCAGAATAAATATCAAACTAGGAAGTATCAGATAGCTTTTAGCTGAATGTTGTGTAGAAATGTATAGTATATAGGGCCAAAATAGCATATTGTTATGTAGAAATGTATAGTGCACAGGGGGGAGAATAGAGGGGTGGTAAAGTATGATATAATATAATGTGGATGGATTTCACCTTGGGGAAGTCATGGGAAGAAGGGAGCGTTAGGGGGGGTTAGGGAGGGATGGGGGGGGAAATGGGGAAAAATTGGTTTTTGTAAAACTTTTTCAATTAAAAAAAAAAAATTCAGATGCTTCGCAATTGGTTCATACTTACTGTACTGTATGACTATTGCTGTGTCCCAAAGTCATGTGGTCACTTTTTGCTACATTCTGACAAGCAAAGTCAATGGGGAAGCCAAATTCACTTAACAACCGGGTTACTAACTTAACAATTGCAGTGATTCACGTAACAACTTTGGCAAGAAAAGTTATAAAATGGGGCAAAACTCACTTAACAAATGTCTCACTTAACAACAGAAATGTTGGGCTCAGTTGTAGTCGTAAGTCAAGGACTACCAAGTAATATGTTGACCATACAATTAACCTTTTCATAGGAAAAGTATATTATTTGTTACTTATTAACAAGGGTAGGAAAAAGTTAGGCACAATTTGTTGATCAGTTATGGTTTAAATATAGGGATTCCAAACAATAAAAAGACACTTTTGTATTAAAAATAAAATAAGGAAAATAAATTGGCAAAACTTCCCAAATTTTATTGGTAATGTAATACTGCTAATCACCGAAGCAAGTTATTTCCATGAAGTGATATCCCCCATCAAACTAAACATTGTGACTGCTGTCCCAACACAGCACTCCCCATTTGGTCTAATCCATGAAGTATTACATTTTGCAGTTCTAAGCCTGCCAAAATCAATGCACCATGGTGCCAGTAAAATGAAAGAGACGACACATGTACCAATGTCTGCAAAATTGGGGCTCACATCACTACTGTAGACCTGTGAACAGAGAACATACTGCTGATCTACATTTTAGAATGCAGAAGATGTCAAAAGATTCCAGTTAAATAACAATTTAACAACTTACTTTTATTGCCTACAAGGGCCACACGTGGTTGAGTTTCTGACTCTTCATTGACCTTCTTTACAACATTATGCCAATTTTCTAAGTTTTCAAAGCTCTGTTGGTTCGTAACATCATACACCAAAATGACAGCCTGGAAAGAAAAGGCTTATGTGAAGAACAATATTAATGACAAAAAAACAGACAACTAAATTGCGTAAACTTAAGATAAGGGCTGATGCATAAAGACCCATAATACATAAATTCTGCACAAAGGGAAAGATAACTTTCATGTTCATGCATACCATACAGATATCAGTATATTCTATACAAAATCTAGTGATTCAAAAATTATACTGTTTTAAAAATATTTTTGCATTCTTAATGTTGATAAAACAGCTGCAGTAAAAAAAATATATATTTTTGCTTATAGACAGCTTCAACTGTATCATACTGAGAATTTTATCTATGTCTTAGATTACTACATCACCATAATCAAGCAATTATTTTTATTTATTGAATTTTTTTGCTGCCCATCTAGCCACAAGGCGACTCTGGGTGTCTTACATTAAAAGCAATAAAACCATAAAATATACATATAACTGATCATGATAAAAAAAAATACAGATTATGACTAAAAGATGGAGAGGGAGGGAGCAGAATATTCAGGGGGAGGTTAGATCTGCTATATGGCCTCCATCGGGGCCATAAGACAACTGACTTTGTCAGGTCTTTACAGAAGGTTAGGAGGGTAGAAGCCAATCTCGCCTCAGAAAGCAAGATGTTCCAAAAGACAGGAGCTGTGGCAGAGAAGGCTCTTCTCCTGGAGAATTCCCTGGCCAACAGGGTCCACAACACGCCTCCTTGCCAGCATGGGTGGACGGGCTAGTTCCACTGGGGTGAGACAATTCCTCAAATAGCCTAAACCCATGCCATGTAGGGCTTTAAAAGTGGTGTACAACAATACTCACAAACGTAAGTAGCTATAAAATATGCACAACATAATACAACCATTACCAATTTTTTAAAAATCTTAAAGGAATATAAAATACATGTAGTATTATATTTCGAAGTATTTTGGAAGAGCTCCTTTTTAACTTAGATCCAAAACAACAATAATATCATGCTTAATCCAGTTTCTTGGGTAATAAATGAGAATAACTGAGGTATTTATACTGACACTGGCAGTTAAACTCGGTTTTAGCTTGTAGATTATCATAATTAATATTACATCTATAACACATTCAAAACAGTAAAATATCTTAGGGCAGCTTTATTAAAATAGTAGCAGGTATATCAAATAAGGATGATTAAACAAATTATATGAAAAATGTCAAATAAATGTTATGAATTTCTAAATGCACTTCATCCTTCATTTTTCTGTATGCTACATACAGCATACAGGAGGGGGAGGGGCTGCTGCTGTTGCCAGAGCATGTTTGGAGTAGCTCCTCTAGGTTTTATTTTATTTTATCAATTTTTAGTATACCCATTGGAGCCTTTTTATTTAAATAATATTTTTCAGAGACGATAACAGAGTAGACAACAACACACACAAAGTTTTGGCTGATAAGGACTAATAAGGCATGGGGAAAAGAAAGAAGTGCCATGGCACCAGCCCGGGATCTCTTCCACCAATGAAGAATGCAAAACAACCAAAAATTGATGAGCACTTTGCTGACAAGAGATTTGTAAGTAAGAATATCCCCCCCTTCATTTCCAACAATCTGGAGAGGTTAGAACGGGACCGGCAAAGAGATTTGACAAAACAGCAGATACTAGACTTTCCTGATCTGGGGGGAGGAGAGCAAAATGACAGCCAGCTGTTTTCACAAACGAGTCCAGCTACAGCCTGTATGGAGACCGAGATAAAATCTAAAAAGTTTAACAACAAACTAATCCAGAGTGTGGAGAGCTTACCATGGGAGAATACAACAGAGTTTATGGCAAAGCAATGCCTTCTTACAGCACAAATGGTTGTTTCAATATTTGAGCAACTAATAACCATTCAACATGATGTAGAGACACTGAAAAATGTTATAGCTGTTTTTCTGCAAGAACAACATCGGGCTACAGGCACCCCCACTAAAGTCCATACAGCAGACTTGGGTAAATCCCATACTCAGGATAAGGAAGAGGAAAAAGAGCAAAGACCCAGGGAAACAGTTAAAGAGCCTGCCAAAAAGTGGCAGCCCACTCAGAAAAACAGTCCTCCACATAAAGCATCAAGAGGAGGAGGTACTAATAGAGGTATTAATAGAGAAGTTTCATTGGAAGACAGTAAAGCATCTCCCCTACAATTACAGCAATCACATCACTCACTACAAACACATCAGGTGGTGCTTAGAATCCATATGAACAGAATTAATCATGGATGCTGGATTACCAAGAGCGCTATACTAAATTCCCTAAACCAGCTTCTTCACTGTCACTGGGGGCAGATTGATCTCCATGCTGCGGTGGCTTCCTGAGACCCCAAATTGAAATCGGATACTTCTATCTTTCGAACAGCCACTGAATACCACTGATGCTATTCAAGATGAAGGCACATCTAGCCTCCTTTCAAATCTTTCCCATCAGAGTTTTCTCTATTAACTGTTAACATGCAAGCTCCCAAAATTGCTGTCTCTTCCGCATTCTCAACCTTGGAAAAGAGAGAGGAAGAAAGTGGGAGTAAGCCAGCCTTGTTCAGCGAAGATGTACTTAAGAGCACAGAAACTGGTCTCATTAATGCTTTTGGCGCTGTCCCAAGGAAAGAACAAGATAACCTACCATTCAAACTAGAAAATTTAAAGAAATCCTTATTGGACATAATCGACACAGCTGAACCGCTTATTGATCTGGTTTCCCTATAATTGAGCTTCTTACTTCTCCCCCAGGGGGCAAGGATTTGCATGAATATGAGAGCATGGAAAACAGAAGCCAAGACACACAGGGGCCATTAGAGGCCCCAGTAGAGGAGATGTTAGCATCCTTATGTGATTATCCTATGATATCTTTAGCACCACATCAAGAAATCGAGAGAGGACCAATGTCAGTGTCATCAGCTCAAAGCCGAATGGAGCACGACCGAATAACTCCCTGCTCTACACCTAGAGAAGAGGCATCGGAATGGCAAGCCTTGTTAGCTGGTGCTAAATCCTCTTACCCTGTGTTGTGACTCCGACCCCAGAGACCAAGTTATCGGAGGGAGAAGGCTCCGAACATGAAGGAGAGGAGTTGGCCAGGCCTCCCTCTCCAGGACCCTCCTTTCTGGCAATGCCTCAGGTGTCTCCCAAAGGAGAAGAGATTGATCAGGAGCCAGGTATCTCCTCACAGTCGGACAGTGACGGAGATAAGTCTTGGCTGGATCCATGCCAGCGTCGGAGAGACAAGCGGACGCAGCAGAAAAGGAGGCGTGCCAGAGATTAAGCTGAGTCACTGGACCACAACCCACAGGGGATAAAAGGGGGTGAGGTGGCCATTCAGACTCTGTGATGGACAAAACTAAACTACTAGCGAGTCACATTGTATCTTTGGAAACAACGTTATCTGCCTTGGATTTAATACGGACTTGACTTGACAATTCTTGAACTGTGTGTATCTTGTTTGAGTTTATCTGACGGAGGAACAACCCCTCCCTTTATGAGTAAAGTTCTTGGCAAGCAGCTACTGGGTTGCTGCCAGTCCTCTTATCGAAAGAATTTGCTGTCTGCCAGTTTTATTTAAGCCCTGGCTGTCTGTTTGTGTGCGTGTGTGAGACGGGGACAGAACATCTTGTCCGTCACCTGAAATTTAACCCATCTTTTAACCAAGATGGACCAACAGCTGCAGCAGCAGCTACAGCAGCTGCAAGCTGATAATCAGCTCCTGCAGCAACAAGTTGCACAGTTAACTGCCCAACTTGCTTTGGGGAATGCTCCTGCAGCTCTCCCTCCCCCTCCTCCTCCTCCCCGTCGGAGATGCTCAGTGAACGTGCCAGATAGGTTTTCTGGGCAGCCGGAGATGTTCCCGGCCTTCATGGGACAATGCCAATTATTCATAACCATGAGACCGGAGGATTTTCCGGATGACCGGGCTCGGGTGGCATTCCTGATTAGCTTTCTTTCTGGCTCTGCCGCCCAATGGGCCACGCCCCTGTTGCTTCAAAATAGCCCATTGCTCTTGGACTATCAGGGCTTTTTGCAACACCTGCGCATTATGTATGAGGACCCCCTTTGGATTCAGACGGCAGCTAGGCGCATTAAGGACCTCTGTCAAGGGAAGCACCCTCTGCAGGACTATATCACTGAATTCCAACTTCTAGGCCAGGACTCTGCTTGGAATGAGGCGGCGCTGATGGACTCTTCCAGGACAGCCTCTCAGACGAGCTGCAGGACGAACTGGTTTGGGTGGAGGTGCCTCAGACGCTCGACACTCTGGTGACCCGATGCCTGCATATCGACGCCTGCCTCCAACGGCGACGGCCTCGTCGGCCCCTTCAGGAACCACCGGCAGCTTCTGCTCACCTGCGTCCCGCACTGACAGTGCCCTGGGCCACCCCGCGTTTTGTGGCAACGGCTGAGGAGCCCATGGAGCTCGGAGCAGCCAGATCTCACCTGACAGCACAGGAGCGGATGCGGGGACGCCAAGGGGGATTATGCCTCTATTGCGGAGAGGCTGGACATTTTGCCACCTCATGTCCTAGGAAGCGAAGTGGGGCGCTCAAGCCTGTTCTGGAATCTCGGTGTGACGAGCCGGGAAATGGGACAGGACTGGCCTAGGGGAAACCCTGGGCCAGGCACGTAGCCATGTCCTGCCGGAGTCAGCGGCTGTGGACTGTGAGCCCCCTCGTCACCTGATTCTGGACACCCGGGTTTTATTGGCCAACCGGTCAGAGGGGCTTCAGGCGCATGCGCTGGTGGACTCGGGGGCCACGACGAACTTCATGGACCAGGCCTTTGTAGCCCATTTTAAGGTCCCCTTGGTTCCGGTGGACCCTCTGTTGAGGGTCGAGACTATCAACAGGTGGGAACTCGTGGCGGGGCCCATCAAATTCGCTACCCAGCCCTTGCGCCTCGCCATTGGGGCACACGGGGAGGCGATCCAGTTCTACGTGACGGCAGACCTTCATTTCCCATTGGCCCTGGGGATGGCCTGGCTTCGGGCCCATGATCCTCAGGTGGCATGGTCGAG